TGACAGAAAGTTAGAGGAAAAGATGGTCAATCTGGGAGATGATGTTTATATTTAATAAAAAATTCATCAAATCAATCAATATGGAGAGAGAGAGAGAGAGAGAGAGAGAGAGAGAGAGAGAGAGATTAAGTTTTAATAGATGTTGGAGCCCATAATTAATTTGTTTCATAAGAAAGAATCGAGTTTATATATTTCCAAAATTTTCTGGGGATCTTGAAGGGTAATCAAATATGCAGCTTCAGAATTGAAACAAACAAGAAGAATTTACACCTCCAATTAAACACACAGAGAGAGAGAGAGAGAGAGAGTAAAAGGTTAAGGGAATCCGATGAGAGGACTCGTGCGGGTTGCTGAGAAAATCTAAGCCTTGGAGAATCTCAAGAAATTCCACTCATCACACATCTTCACTGTTCATCAATCATTCTTTACTTTCACCAACACATACTTCCCCCCATCACCAGCACTCGATTCGAGAAACGGACGACGCCCCGTGGTAAATCATCATATTCTTTAACGCCATGCACAAACAAGACGCGACATGAGATTCTTTTTCGTTGTACTTTCCTATGTTCTGCCCGTGTAAAGAGAATGAAACAGCTAGCCCTACTCCAATAAGGTCTGTGACCAACCTCGGAAAGGATGAAACTTGTATAGATTAGTGGGTAAATGTGGTTATTCGACGATTTACGACTTCATCATTAGCATAAGCAGATAGTCTTAATAGCACTTGTAGAATCTCGACGAAGATAAGAAACCCATGAATCTATTTTGCCCCCTAATGTCTATGAACTCGAGGTAACTGTTAAATAAGCACGAACGAAACCCGTATTAGAAAACAAAACTATCAAAAAGATGAATGCAGATATGGCAAAGTTTTGGGAACAGAGTCCCTCTTTTTTAGGCCAACAGATTGTTATGTATGAAACAAGAGTCATCATCACTCCTCCTCCCAACAGATGATGAGGCGATCTTAAAAGGGACCATTTGCGTAGTGGATGAAAAGCTTTCAGCTTTGGACGTCCATTTTGCGTTCAGCTTTCCCGAGTCCATAATTGAAGATGGAATATGTGAAGGACAAACCGCATTCATTGCAAAGCCCCCCCTTCCTGCTTCTTCAATCATTAAGTCCCCCCCTCCTCCTTTTTCCCCTTTTCTCACTTTATTCAAATTCGCGTGGACCCAAACCTTTGTTGGGCATGATGATGGTCGCTTGCATGTACCTCATCATCTTCCGAGTTAACTAGGGTTTTTCAAGTAACCATTGATCCGCACTCAATCTTACAGCATAGACATGGAAAATACAGCGTTCGAGGTGGAGATGCATGTGATATCTGAAAGTTCGACCATTGAAGAAGACACCGGACGTTATGTTTCACATGCAAGGGACTGCGAAACTCAAATCCTCGTCTTTTACAGGTCCGTGCAACCTCGGTCACTGCAGATAGATTCGTGTTTACTCCGTGAAGGTATAATGTTAAACACCTAGGTACTGTACGTGCGTGTGCATGAGGAAAATATATATTATGATTAGGGTTTCAGAATCACCTCGGAATGAGGAAAATATGCGCGAATTGAACGGCCGAAGAAGCTGAGCTTGGATTGATGGTTGTCCTTGGGTGAGGAATGAACTTTAATTATGATTTGAAATGCCCGACAAATCAAAGACACATGGTGATTATTCTTTCGTGTTATCGGGTGTTTTTTTTTTCTAGGTTCTACGCATTGCCAACTTTTCTAGAATCCGAGGTTGCCCCCATTTCTTTCACAAAGGATTTTCAATCTTCTTTAACTTTCGGGTCAAACCAGTGCGGTAGATCCTGTTGACATAAAACACCCCCAGGTTAACATAATCAATTAGACTAAGTTAAGATGAAATGAAATCTCTTGATCCTATTCAATGGCGCAGTCGCGGTTCTATTTAAGAGTATATTTTAGCAGTTCTACTTTCAATTTTGATCTGTCTTGCTTCTTAGTAAAGAGGGTGTTGAGTAGTTTCTTTACAATCTATATGATTTGGGTTCTTGATGGTTTTCGTTTTAATAGCATTTGATATTTGACTTCTGTTCAATACTTATCTATAGACTATATCGTAGGTTGTTAAATAGAAGAATAACAGTCGAGTGGACCTCCATAATCGAGAGCACATTTGAAAGCATGGGTCAAAGTTCACACGGGGTCATTCTCATTCGGGGTCAAAGTTAATGGTTTAATTAAAGAGGGTTAAAGGTGGTGTTTTGGCCATACACTCTTGTCGGGTTATGGGATTAGTAGGCGGGGGAACCATGCGGTGGACGCTCTACTTTTAAGACGACGGTTGGCGCCTTAAGGAACGAGGAGACTTTCCCATGTTTTGCTAGTTCCTAGAAGGACTCGAGCATCCTAGGCTTTGGCCAAAAAGGAGGGGATTTACCGGAAAATGGTGTGTTTAAAAGGAAAATTCAGAGAAAATGACACAAACAGTCCCCGAATTTTGGCTCAATATGTAATATGGTCATTGAACTTTTAATTTGTCTAATGTAGTCCCTGAACTTTAATCCAGTGTGCAATGTGGCCCCTGAACAATTAATTTGTTCGATGTCATCCCTGAACTTTTTGTACATGTTCAATTTCGTCCCCGAACTATATGATAATGTTCAATGTAATCCTTCCATTAATTCAAGTTTAAGGACTATACTAAATATTTTCATATAATTCAAGGACTACATTCAACATAAATTAAAAGTTCAGGAGCCACATTGAACATTAAACTAAAGTTTGGGGACTAATTGAATAATTTAAAAGTCCAGAGACCACATTGCACGATAAACTACAGTTCATGAACTGTTTGTGTCATTATCCCAAAAATCTAAGTAATTAAGCATATTTGATATTAACATGTTTGAATTATCACCAAAAAGCAATGGTCTTATTTTGGTGAAGTGTTTGGGAATTTTTCGATCCAATAATTCCGTTCTTTGGAATGAGATTCTTTTAAAATGTTTGGATTGCAAAAAGTTTTGGTCTTCAAAGAAAGCATATTTCTCAAAAGACGACAACAGTACTGGTCGACAAAGGAGTGAAAATTTCAAAAATTCTTTTAGTTTATTCATTGTGGTCCCTGGGCTTTTGTTATATGCTCAATGTAGTATCTAAACTATATAAAAATATTCAATATTGTCCTTCTATTAACATAAGATCAGGAACAACATTGAACATTTTCATAGTCCAAAAACTAAATTGAACATATACCAAAAGTCCAAGGATCACATTGAACAAATCAATAGTTAAAGGGTCACATTGCACATTGGGCTAAATTTTAGAGATTATATTGAACAAATTAAAAATTCATGGACGATATTGCACATTGATACAAAGTTTAGGGACCATTTGTGTCATTTTCCTTGATTAAGTAGATTCGATACTAACATGTCTGAATTATCACCAAAAGCGGTGGTCTTATTTGGAGAAGTGTTTGGGAATTTCTCAATTGAGTCCGAGATCCGGGTCCCACTTCTAGCAATGCAAAAGGCCACTGCTATATGGATAGAATTGTTCGGACAGTCATTCTATAATAATTGTGTTTGCAATGAGGCCCCGTTTGATTTCAGGATAAGGAATCCTCAATTGGACTCTCATTTCTAGTAATCCCATTTCATGAAATAACATTTCTTTTTAATAATTTTGATTGCAAAATGTTGTGGCCTTCAAAGAAAGAACATTTCTCAATTCCCGCCCGAACGATAGCGGGACTAGTCGGTGGCGACCGACCGTGGCAGCGGTACTAAAGTTGGGTTTTCAATAGTTTTGTGGTATTAGGAATGTAGCATTGAAATCCCAATCCAATCCTAATTATTGCTAGGTAATCCCAATTTTGCACTTTTTGAGAATTTCTATTCTATGCGGAATCAAATCCGACATTTGATTTCTTGTCGAACAAGAAAATTGTATAAAATCGAAATCTCGTTTATGAAGGGATCCGGTGCCGCATTGAACCGAACGAGGCCGACGAGATAATCAAGGGCCATTTAAACTGGGTTGTCCCCCAACCCCACCAAGAACTAGCGGGATAGCAATCGAACTTTACTAATTAATCTTTTAATGTGATTGTCCATAATTTACACAAGCAAGGACTCGTGACATTCGATAAAAATCGATTTTTGTAGTCTAAAGTGGAGTACTTGTAATAATTAAATTTTGGCGAGTTCATAAAAAGACAAATTCTCATTAAATAAACACGGTACACTTCGCTAACTAAAATTATTTCAATAATTTTCTTTACTGTTGAAAACAAAAAATTACGTACTTAAATCCACTTTTTATACTAGTTTATTACTTGATGTTGATTGATATAAATTGAACCTTAAAGTCGCTCCGCTCCCTTAATGTAATTCTAGTTTCATTATTGGAGAGAATCATTGTGCTGGGGCATGTGTGGTTCCCCAAAAGCTTCAATTTTCACAAAAATCAAATTGTACACTCAATCGGGCGAGGCGTTGAGTGATGGAAATATCAAACAACTCATATTTGAATTGGGATAATGACACAAATGGTCTCCAAATATCTTTTTTTAGTTATGTTCAATGTACGTAGTACATGAATCATATGAAAATGTTCAATATTGTCATTTCATTAATTTCAAGTTCATGGACAACTTTGAATATTTTCATAGGGTTGAGACACTAAATTGAACATGTGCCAAAAGTTTAAGGATCATATTGAATAAATTAAAAATTCAGGGACCACATTGCACATTAACCTAAAGTTCATAGACCACTCGTGCCATTTTTCCATTCGAATTCGAGGTATCAAATGGGCCGATCCGACCCATTTTACAAGCTGACGGTGCCGGGCCGGCCCGTTTTCCTTGACCGCCAAGCGTGACACGCGGCCTTTCCGGGGATGGGCCGTGATGGGCCGGACCAGGCCCATATCACGCCGGCCCTTTGAGCCTTCCGTTTTTGCAAATTTTTCGCGATCCTCTCGCGGTTCGCGTCTGACCTCTCTTTTCCCTCGCAGAACAAGACGCATTTTCGGATTAAGATAAACACTGTCTCGCGTGTGGTTCATCTTCAAGCTCGGAAACCCATCTGCAGTTCTTGATCGACGCGCCACTCTGTACTCAGATGCTTTCGCTGCGGGTTGCGTCTCCTCAGCTCTTGGTCCGCGAAGGGTCCGAAGTTTCCAAGAGAAGAGCCCACTTCGCGGCGGTGCGTGCGGTGGAGAATGACTCGAAGCAGTTCGAGGTGGACCAAGACAAGGCTCGCGAAGCCCTTCAGCAGCTCGACCAGCAGCTTCAGACACTGTCCCAGAAACGAACCCCTTCCCCAAAAGTTAAGGGTACGCCCTGTTCTGCTCTGATATCGTGCGTCTTGTTTGTTTGTGAGTTCTCTCCTTTCTCGTTCTCTTTGCTGAGTTTGCAGTGAGAACTTTTCGTGGGCTTTCATTAGATGGTCGGATTCGGGGTTTCATAAAGATGCTTGATGTTGAGCCTGTGAAAAGATGATTAGAAATATGTCACGTGAATTGAATAATGAAAAAGCGAAAATCTTGCCGTCAGATAATCACAACTTGAAAGGAATTAAAAAACGGCGCGAACGGGCCGTTTCTTAACGGTATCGCCGCCAGCAGACCCCGGTACTGGCGGCGCTAAAAGAATTCTCACCGGTGACGAACCGGTTGCCGCATGTTCCGTGAACCTAGAGGACTAGGGAGATAGGAGATTTGGGCTATGCATTGCTGGGGCTTCTTGCACTAATTCACAAGTAATTTCTATGGCCTATAGGATAGAGAAGTATATAGTCCACAGCTTTGGACCCAAAGAGAAGTTGGGTACTTTCTTCTAAGCTTAAAATGCCTTGAAGGATATATATAATTTGATTTGTCTTCCAGACACGTTAATAGGTCAACTGAGGAAAAGTTATTCCCGAACAATATAAAGTCCATACAATGTCAATGAAAGACAGAAGGTTATAGATTCAAGCCAAAATTGACAATTATGTTACTTTTTGGAAAATTCTGAACCTTTGGAAAAGACTCCTCGCTGCAGCCTCCGCGACTGCCCGTTGCGTAGTGTCAATTCTTATTCCCATGTCTTTACTCTCTCGGGTGTGCTCTTGTCAAGCTGCGTAATTTGTATTTGTAGCTTCATTTACACTGCTATAGGCGTGTCAAGGATAAGCATTACGTAGACTTTTTGTTGGGGCAGCGATGAAGAAGTTTGAATCATGGAGCAGCTTCAGTTAAGTGTCATGTTTGACGGCATTATAGTTTAGCACCCCAATTTAAGCTTCTGTCCGTGGCGCTGGTTTGTGGTCGCACAGTGACAGAGGGTAGCAAGGCAATTAAGTTTCCACCAGTAGCGGGTCGAAAATTGAGTCTGACGTTGGAGTTTCAGGTCTTGGAATATCACCACTGCGTTCTAGCCGTCACCAGGCATGCGTTAAATGAGTTTTTAAGGGTGCACAGTCCATGACTGCAATCTCCAAGATAGTAGATACCCCAATCTGTCCTCAGGGAAAATTGGATTGGTTTACTATATCGAGTCGTTGCTGACACTTCTTGTGCCTACTCTTACCCCGTGATATGTTTTGTTCTCTCACCGCAAATCCACAATACGGTACCATGAAGAATACTAAGTTTTAGCACATGCAAGACGTGGCCAATGGACTCTAGCCGAACAGTCTGTCGCATTTGATTTATGGGGTGGGGTGGTGGTGTTCTATTGTCTCGTGGGTTTGTTGTCGTGAACCTCTTTCACCAGCTCTTAAGAAAATTTTTTAGAAAGATGACTCCCTAACGTGAATTTTTTATTTGATGTGTTCTTGAACAATGCAGCTTCAGATGTGAAGCTGACGAGTGACCAAATGACAGGAGAAGTCGGGGTGGAGATTTCGGGATCTTTCCTATCGTACGCAGCTGGTGGTCTCCTGCTCTTCACCTTCCTCTACAACCTGTTGTTCTACGCCGTCATCAAACCTTCCATCGATGGACCGGACTCTCCCTTGGAAACTCCCATCACAACACTAGCTTCAGAAGCTGCGGATTCACCCCAGTCATCGCCACCACTGCTCGAAACTCCTTAATACATTCGCGGCAACGCGATCCGGTGCCATCGGCGAAACCGCAGTTAGCTGAGTTACTTTCAAAACGCACGAGATTGATAAATTAGGCAAGCATCACACCTCCAGGCTTTTGTGGAAAAAGCACGTTCGGTGTTTGACTTTTGTTCACTCCTTTGTCGAGCGAAAGATCTTCCTACAGAGAAATAATTTACTGTTCCATTTCTGAGGTCTATCTTCAACACCTGAAGATCACCGAACCCAATGGCACATCTGCAGAAAACTTGGTCTTGTATCTGCATCGGACTAAAGCCCACGCAGGCCCGTGGGCAAGCTGGGCGGGCTTGCAGACATGTTCATGGATGGGACGTCGAAGCTCTGTCCCCCTCACGTGGGATTCCCGTCTCTTGTCTCTGTCTGGCTGCTACGCTGTGTCAGAGGAATTCAATTTTTACTTTTCAACTTTTTAAAATCGTATTTCCTAATCATTAGCAGATGCCTGCGACATCTTTATGCACATCCCTGTGCAGCGCGCCGCGCACCTGGCCCTTCTTCATTTCTTTGACGTGCCGGTCCATCTGATGTTCAAATTCTTGAATTTCAAGAGCTTTTGAAACCCATGATTGTTTCTTGTCACGTAAGGCTGATGTGGCGTTTGTTTATTTCGTGCATTTTCCTCAATTTTTCGACATTTGAATCTTGCTTAAAAAAATGGGTCAACAGAAAATTTATACTTAAATTCAGAAAAATAATTTGCTCTTTAATAAATTGAAAAAAGCAATTTTCAAAATATAATTAGATATCGATATTTGGACCAGAAACCCTGTACTTGAGCATGAAAATCCTAATGCTCGTTTCTGGGTCTTTGGCGCCTGGACCCGAGTCCATTGAGGCCGGACCTGCGACCTCAACGGCTATGTCCAAGTTTTCGGCGCTTGCGCCGGGGTCAAAATTCCGATGCTCACGCCCAGGTCCCTACGCTCGAGACTAAGTCCCCAACGCTCGGACCCAAGTCACTAGCGCTTGTGCCCAAGTCCATCGAGATCAGGGCTGAGACCTTGATGGCAGTGCTCGAGTCCTCAACGCCTGAGCTCAGGTCCATCGAGGCCGAGACTAGACTTTAGTGGCCATGCTCGATGCTCTACACCCTGGCTTGGCTCCAAAAGGTCGCGCGTCGGTTCCCATCGCTCGGGCTTAGATCCGTGGTGCTCGTGCCAAGATCCCTCAAGCTCGGGTCCATTGAGGCCGAGGCCCAGGATCCCAATGCCCGTGCCCGAGTCCATTGAGGTCGAGCTCAGGGCCCTCGTGCCCATGCCAGAGCCCACAAAGGCTGGGATCGGGATGCTTGTGTTCGTATTTGGATCCCTTGTGCCCGAGCTCGGGTCCATTGTGATCGAGGCTCGAGATCTTGATGCCCGGTGCCTGTGCTCTTGCTCGGGACCCAAGTACTCATGCTCGGGTCCATTTTCGCTATTAGTAGTGATGTATAAAATGGTAATGCACTCTCTTTGATGACGAGGGGTTTCTTGTGGTACCGTGAGTTAGGGATGATCGGTTCTCGGCTCAAAACCGGGGACTGACCTTGTGACTCTCGATTTCAATCGGATACCGAATTGTTAGTTCCTGTTCGATTCCTAGGTAGAATCGTGAACCGAATCAAATTTTTGTTTTAAAAAAAAATCAGATATTCACGATAAAATTTAAGTAGCGCACCATTTCACAAAAAAAAAAAAAAATTTATCGGTCAAGCGATTGTAATATTGTTTCTTCGTGTCGAAAATCACGTTTCGATTTTCTACGTGCGCAAAAGTATCTCTATCTTTTTTTTTTGTTTTTTAAATACCGGACTCGGTGCTCGCCCCACTCACGACACGAGCGAGTCAAGCAAAAGGAAAAGAATCTCTGTCGTGATCCGTAATGTAAAGAATAACAATTCGTGGAGCCGACCGCATCGAATCATCATCCCCACTCTTTTTCCGAATGGGACTTCCTTTTTATCGGCAACGGCAATTAAAATTAGACCCAAGCAAAACCCGCCGCCGGCCCTAGTTTGACCCCCGGTCCCGCTCTCTCTCTTTCTCTCTCTCTCTCGCTCTCCGTAGTGCAAAATCCCGTCCAGGTTCGCTGTAACGCCGTAGCCAAATTTGGGTTCTCGCGCCTCCCCCCGCCGGGGGACGAAAGACCCACGCGCCGCGCGGCCCCATCCCATCCCTCGCCGTCGGCAGCTCCGTTCCGGCGAGCGCGTGCCCCGGGGGGGCGCGAGTGGGGGTTTCGCCGGCGCCGGCCCCCCCCCCTCCCACCCCCGGCTGCCCGTGTCAGGCACACGTGACGGGGCGGCGCACGTTAGAGGACCTCCCTCTCCCCCGCGAGCTAGAGAAATCCCCGCAAAGAAACAAAAACAAAAGGAATAAATAAATGGAAGAAATGAAGAAAAGGCCGATTTGGCGAGAGTCACTCCTATGATTTGATATAATCGCGCACTCCCAACTTCGCTTTTTCCCAGTCTTCTTCATCACCGCGAGCACCACCCAATCCCTCTGTCTCCCGCGGCCAGATATCTCTCTCTCTCTCTCTCTCGTTCGCTCTGTTCCGCTTCACTGTGTGCCCTTCGTTTTCGTGAAACCCTAGCTCTCCGTCCGAGCAGCGGGACCGGGCGGGCCGGGCCGTGCCGTGCCTTGGGAAGGAGCCCTTTGAGGGGGTTTGGTGGTTGGTTGGTTGGTTCGTTCGTTCGTTCGATCGATCATGGCGACGGCGGTTGGAGCTGCGAGCGCGGCGGTGGCGAGCGATCCCAAGGTGGCGATGTTCCGGGGCTTCACCGGGCTCAGGCCTTCCTCGAGCTCGGTTCCGCTCGCGAGGCAGCTGAGCGCGTTGGCGCTCTCTTCCGGTTCGTCCTCCTCCTCTTCTCCTCCTTCGAGCGCGTCGGTCGTGAGGGCCGTGTCGACGGTGAGTTCCTGGTCGCTGGCTCTGGGGTGTTCAGTCTTATTTTGTTCCCTGTTCGTTTGCATTTTTTCCTGTCTGGATTGGTTCTCGTTGCCTTCCCTTTTGTTCGAATTGACATTTTTTGCTGGGCATCCCTTTGCATGTATGTGGAGACTGTTGAGATTTTGGGGGCAAAGATTGGTTCAGGAATCGGTAGGAATGAAAATGAAGGACTGAAAGTTGGCAGCTTTTTTTTTTTTTCTTCTTGTTCTTTCTTTGGTTTAGGAAATTGGTGGGTGGGAACTGGGACGGCGGTTGATAAGAACACTGATTCTGCTCGAAACGTTCTTGAAAAAAAAAAATAGATGGATAATTTAAAGAGCACTGCTAAAGAAAATTGTTTTAGGCGAAAAATAGAATGCTTTTCCATTTTCACAACGATAGATCTCTTGCTTAAGGCGCGCTGCCGACAATCTTTTTCCTTTTATAAATTGCTAGCCATGGATATGGACCTGCACCCAGTCAGTTCCTACAGGGGGGGAAAACGTGCGCCACCGTAACCAAACTCTGATAAAACAAAGCATTCCTTATGTCAGACTTGGACTGTTAATGCCATCTGTTTTGGCTTAGCAAGCTTAATTTGTATCTGTACTCGAATTCGCCCTGTTCGGCTTCCCACATGGGTTGACTAGTAGTACCCGGGGATCATTTTCCTTTCTTCATCACTGTTCTTCATCTCGCTTTTTTCTCTGTAAATTTGGATCATGTACAAGCGATGGGGAAAACCGGATGTAACCTATGTCCTGACAGGAAGCTATTATGACTTGAACTTTTGCTTTCTAAGTAGCAGATGATTTATGCCTCTTTCTTGATGAGTTTTTCTTAACAATGTGCAGCCCATAAAGCCTGAGACTGCTGCTGAGCCTAAACGTAGCAAGGTCGAAATAATTAAAGAGAAAAGTAATTACATAAGATACCCACTCAACGAGGAACTTCTGACAGATGCACCCAACATAAATGAATCTGCTACCCAGATCATCAAGTTCCATGGGAGCTATCAACAGTACAACAGGGACGAACGTGGGGCGAGATCATATTCGTTCATGCTTCGTACGAAGAACCCGTTTGGAAAAGTTCCCAACCAACTTTATTTGGTCATGGATGATCTTGCTGATCAGTTTGGAATTGGAACACTTCGTTTGACTACAAGACAAACATTTCAGCTCCATGGAGTCCTGAAGAAGGACCTCAAGACAGTGATGAGTTCGATAATTATGAACAGGGGTTCAACTCTCGGTGCTTGTGGAGATCTGAACCGAAATGTTCTTGCCCCCGCTGCCCCGTATGCTGGAAAGGATTACAAATTTGCACAAGAAACCGCAGACAATATCGCTGCCCTTCTTACACCGCAGTCAGGTTTCTACTTTGATATGTGGGTGGATGGGGAGAAAATCACCTCTGACGAACCTGCTGAGGTTGTGAAGGCTCGAAACGATAATTCTCATGGAACGAACTTCCCCGACTCCCCCGAGCCAATTTATGGAACTCAATTCTTGCCCAGGAAGTTCAAAATTGCCGTTACTGTGCCCACAGATAACTCGGTCGATATCTTTACAAATGACGTTGGAGTTGTTGTCATTTCTAATGAGGAGGGAGAGCCTCAGGGATTTAACCTATATGTAAGATGACTGTGTTTCTATTGGATATCGACTGACATTTTTTCTTTAATGTTTCATTTTTAATTGCATAATTATAATGTTTAATTTTGCAGGTTGGTGGTGGTATGGGAAGAACACATAGGTTGGAGACTACCTTCCCCCGTCTGTCAGAACCTTTGGGTTATGTACCGAAAGAGGACATTTTGTATGCAATAAAGGCTATTGTTGTTACACAGAGAGAAAACGGGAGAAGAGATGATCGCAAATATAGTAGAATGAAATATCTGGTTAGCTCTTGGGGGATTGAAAAGTTCAGAAGCGTTGTTGAGCAGTATTATGGCAAGAAATTTGAGCCAATTCGTGAATTACCAGAGTGGGAGTTCAAGAGTTACCTGGGATGGCAGAAGCAGGTGTGTGTATTTTTCATTATTTGTTACTGTTTTCTTGTTCTTGGTCCGAGGGATTTTGATATCTATTTCATTATGATAATAATCCTGTGGCCTATATCGCGCCTAAACATTCTTGTACCATGCTTGGCCCATTTGATCTCTGATTTGTGATTCTCAAATGTTTTTGGCAGGGAGATGGTGGTTGGTTTTGTGGGCTTCATGTTGATAATGGACGTATTGGGGGGAATATGAAAAAGACACTTAGAGAGATAATAGAGAAATATAATCTCAATGTTCGTATCACACCAAACCAGAACTTAATATTGTGTGATATACGGAATGCATGGAAGCGTCCTATCACAAAAGCTCTTGCGCAGGGTGGTTTTCTGGTAAGTTGCGTTGAAGATATACTATTCTTACTCTGATGTTAGTGTTGTGCGATGATTTAATATTATTTAAGAATTCATTCACTCTAGTTAAGAGCATCTCATTTCCATTTGCGCGCTGTTTCAGTAGCATTATCATGGAGGGTATGTGCTTTTGTCGGGGACAAAGATCTGTAAACAGAGTCATGCTTTTTTGAATCACCATGTTTACACGTGCACAATTGAGTTCCTGCTTGTATGGCTATTTAAGCTGTGCTTGGATGTGTTAAGGATTCCAGTGCCTTCATTAAGAAATATCTCCTAAGGAATCCCTTTTGCTTCCTAGAGTTGAATACGGCATGGAAACTGTTTATTTATATGGTCGGAACCTCCTAGAGGACATTGCTGTTGACTCCAGATCCAGACTGTCTTTAATATTATGACTCTCAGAGATTGTATTATTTCTTTTTGTCTACCCATTGCTTGGTGTGCTTATTTCACTACAGGATATTTCATAACAAAAAGGTTGTTATTGTGGACAGGAACCTAAACATGTGGACTCTCTCAATATAACTGCAATGGCGTGCCCGGCATTGCCTCTTTGCCCATTGGCAATAACTGAAGCTGAAAGAGGAATACCCGATATACTTAAGAGGGCTCGAGCGGTATTTGATAAGGTATATGACTACCCATGTATGACAGCTGAGTCATGTAATATCATAATATCGCAGTACAATAACTGAAATGGAGGTTTGTTGGCACTGGCATTGTAGGTTGGTCTCAAGTACAATGAATCTATTGTAATAAGGGTAACTGGCTGCCCTAACGGCTGTGCTAGACCATATGTGGCTGAACTTGGACTTGTTGGTGATGGTCCTAACAGTTACCAGGTACATCTTATTACACTTTCTCAATGCCTTATATCTCCTGAAACCTATCAGAATAAATTCATTTTAACCTTCAATTTGTGTGGAAAAACAGATTTGGCTTGGAGGGACACCAAATCAGACATCAATAGCAAGAACTTTTATGAATAAGGTTAAGGTTCAGGATCTCGAGAAGGTTTTTGAACCTCTTTTCTACTACTGGAAGCGTAAGAGACAATCCAAGGAATCGTTCGGCGACTTCACTAACCGCATGGTCAGCACCAAATAATTACAACTCGCGAGTATTTTATCGTTTTCTTATTATCAGATTAGGAATACTAGTAGCCAATATTTGTCGAGAACGAGGTTGTTATTACATCCTTTCTTTTCCTTCATTATGGCCTAGCTATCTTTCTCTAACGGTCTTATTTTCTACCAGGGATTTGAGAAGCTTCAAGAGTGGGTTGACAAGTGGGATGGTGTGGTAAAGGCACCTGCGCGCTACAACCTTAAGCTCTTTGCTGATAAGGAGACGTATGAGGCCATGGAAGAACTGGCAAAGGTGCAGGAGAAAAGTGCTCATCAATTAGCCATAGAAGTAGTCCGGAACTTTGTCGCCGCCCAGCAAAATGGGAAGGCCGAATGAGATAGCGGTCCAAGTCGATCTCTTTATTGCCTGCCTGATGCGGAGTTGAATAAGAAAACGATCTACCATTCATTTTGTCTATGCCGTGGTAACGGCTCTGTTGAGTAGATGCAGGGCGAGGTGTCATTGTTTTTTTACTCCTCTTCTTCCATCAGTTTCTTTTTCCAGCTTTTGCAAGACCTGGAGTCGGTGTAAACAATTGCGTTTTCTTTTCCCTTTTGTAATTTCCTTTACTTGAGTGATGTAATTTCTTCGGTTGCCTGTAGCTGCTAGTAGCTTAGTATGCTTCAGCTTATGCTGGCTGGCCTTTACAATATTGTTGGCAATAGGACGCGGCACCAACACCGGTGGCCTTATTATGGGGATTGTGCCGCGGCAACCATGAACATGTGCGGGATGCGGTTCAGTTGAATCGCTTCATCTTTTCATGTTGCAAGAGGCATCTCTTGCAGAACATAGTAAAATTTCATGTACTAGATGTTTTCTCTGTAGTTACTACAATAATGAGTTGGTTCTGTTGATACGCAGCAACTGTTTGTACATGAAAGCTGGATATGCGGTATGGTTGACGGATGAGTCGGGACCTAATGAGAACTGGCCGTTGCTACTAGGTTGGAATGCTAACACATTGCCATGGGGGAACTCTACTCCGGTGAATGCTGATTGCCGGTACTAGGAGAGCATTGGGATATAATCCAAGTCCGAAGAAAATATGTGCCTAAATTCTTTTCTTGCTCGAACGTTCACTGCCCGATAACTACCCAGAATCGTACCCGCGCGAGTAAGAAAGGATAGCCTGACATCGAAACAATTTGATGCAAAAAACATTCAAGTTGGAACGCAAGAGGGGAGTGTGACTCAGACCAAAGAAGCGGACTTAGATAGAATGGTGATCGATTGGTCCCAAGATAGCAAGAAACTAGAATACAAGGTTTTACACATATATCATTCCCAAATCAACACGAAATCAAGGGTGGGGGAAAAGGAGTTGCCAATTCTTGACCCTCATTTGTGGCAGATGCGAGCGGTGGGCATGGTCACACAGATAGGAGTATACTTCTTCTTGGCCTCGGGAGTACCCTTTCTCGGCTCATCTTCATCTGCGATGGCGGCCCTCGCGACGGCGCAGGCGGCCGCAGCTGCAGCGGCAAAGACCAAGTCCCTCCTCCCACTGCTTCTCTCTTCCTTGTCGGCATTGAACTCGAGGCTGGCCTTCTCGGCCTCGGTGGCTCTCGAGGCCTTGGCCACGACGAGGCCTCTTGTGGAGGCCTTGGCCGAGGGTAGCTTGCCGACCACAGCCGACGAGCCGGCGAGGAAGGAGGCTGTCATGGTCATGGAAGCCATTGCTGCTGCGAGTGTTGGTTGAGTGAGCGTTTCGCTTTCTTTCTTCTCAGCTTCTCTCACTTGCAACTTTATGTTTGTGGGTTGTGAAGAAGAATGGAAACGCAAAGCCCTTGTTGGGGAGAGAGGGCATCATCCATTTCCTTATCTTGAGACAAGTATGGCCCTAATGGGTGCTTGCCACGTGTATCTTTTGTTATCTGAAGAGAAACCGGTGGCGAGGAAAGCCTGGGCTAGAAAGTTCTTGGCATTTCAGTTTTTGTTTTTGTTTTTGTTTTCCCCCCCAAAAAAATAACTTTTGTCTTACCACTTTATTGGAAATCTTTGTACAAAGGAATGATGTCGACGAATGCCGGAGAAATATTGGATTGTATGCACAGTATAGTCATATATATCCCAGGAAGCAGCTGGGACTTGGATATGATGAAGGCTCATGATTTTAGCTCCAGACAAGTCATCAATTCAAACTAAAAGTTTGAGATCACACTGACCTTCCTAGAACTTCTCCAGTGGTTCAGTTCTTACTTCCATTAGTAAAAACCATTCGAAAGATTTGCAAATTCTGCTAGTGTCGAGCAAGAGACTCCATAAGAACCAGGAAAAGAAGCAGGATTTTCTATTTTTTAAAAAAGTCAGGGATAAAATGCACATTTACACAATAATGTTATAAAGGGGTAATCGAGCTGAATCAGATTGCCAATGTTTCAGGGAAACAACACGACTTCCTATCTTGTCTTTACTTGTTGCACAAAGCACTTGACCGTCATGCAGAGAGAGTGACGAGGAAAATCCTAGAGCCGCTGGACAAAATTGGGCTGTCTTTCAACATTTGTTCTACACAAAGTTCCTCCATGTTCAATCAAAATGTTATAAGGGCTAGCCGCCCGCCGGGAGCGGGCAGCTCATGCTGGGGAGTCAACAGGTCCAGGTCCACCCCTGGTGGTCTATTAGGTCACAGTTGAGAAATCTCTATTGTCGACGTTATCTGATACAACGTTCTTGTTTTCAGATAATGTTTCTTCTCACGTCAGCGTAGCCTGCCTGGAGAATGGGCGGACTTGGCCACTTTCTTTTGGCTCACTCGCCGGGCTTGGGACTTTTTTCCGATATCGGCCGATGAACCAGGTGGCCGGCCTGGGCAGGGGCTTTGAGACCCCGCCCACCCATAGAATCATTCAAAGGAACATCTTAAGTTATTTTCATTTACCTTCATACATGAAACTTCACAAACAACAATCCAAAAAGACGAGGCCAATTTTGTTTAATTAGCAAAGAAAAGTAGTAACATGGGCAATAAAACACCACAAAATCCAAGAGATAGTTTTCGTTTTCTGTTCATTTTTTTTAGCTGAAACATATAGAACATATGTTCTTCCATTTGGCCTGGAGGTTGCATCCAGAAGTTCGTACCAAGCATTGTCATGAAACTATCCTCAATGCATAAATTTTCTCACGAATATCAAAGTTCAACGCTTCTTTGCTTTTTATTTTCTGACACTCGACGAGCATGTTTTGGGTACAATCGACAAAATCTGTATAACAACAGAGAAGTATCAATTTCACATGAGTGAATTAACGATCCTAACCCTAGTAAAACCTCCAATCCCAACTGCTAATGATAGCTAGAGTCAATGTATGCCATAAGAGCTCGCTTGCATACCAATCACCTATTGTGCGGTAACGAATGATATGGGTTGGTACTGATTAAATCGTTGAAGCTGTACACCACTACTTGACGAGGATTTTGGCGAGTGGAATGCGCTGGAAGGCAAGAGCTCCTGCTTGGATGCGATTCAGGAGGATAATTGCCGGTCGGCTGCCAAGTAGGTGGCTCGAGGTTCGCAGGCTGCGTGACCACACTTTGAACTTGTAGATGCATGTTGATCCTCATCCCACTTGGACGATGTGCCATTACGTTAGGGTGCATATGGTTGCGATGTGACAGAACATTGTAGGCCGGTCGGTCGTTCTCCAGACCGCCGAGAGCACTTATCTGAGAACTCTGAGGCAGTTGATAATTGTCGACCACGTCGACTTGTTGGCTCATGTTGAGCTCGTGATTTGGCGTGGATTGAAGCTCTTGCAAGTAACCATCGTTAACAATAATAGCCTTTTTCTGGCCTTGATTTTTGCCAGCGGTCGTCGGGGCATTGTCTTTGTTGCCGTTTGGCTGATCATGGTTCTGTTTGTTCCTCTTCTTTGTTGGATGATCAGATTTCTGGCCGTTCTTCGAATGCTTTGCATGCTTGGGCGTGTAAACCTTACACAGAACCCACTCATCTAACTGCCACAATGCACAAAACAAAGACGTCAATTCACACTAAGTGTAATGGCAAGGAAAACTAAGATACGATAATGTCAACATGAACGGATGAATCCAAACCCTCTTGTCCTTCACTCCCTTCTCGTCTCTACTGGTGTGGATCCTCTTCTCGTCCTCCTCCAATCTATACTCATGCATATTCAAGGCCGTCCCGTCGCTTCGTCTTTGCGAGGTTCCCCGAAAGGAAGGAGAGAAGGCCAACAACCTCTTATATCCGATCGTTCTATTCTCCATCAGGACGATGCTATCCTTCCCAGTCGCCTTCCAAACCCCGCTGGGCGTGCAACGATTCGGCCGCGACCCGTTTGGATACTTCCTGTCCCTCGGAGTGAAGAAGTACCACTCGTCTCCATCTTTTCCCACTCCCTCGCGGTTCTCTGGAGAATCGTACAATGAGTTGCATCTGAGTAATTTCTTTGGTATTTGCACATAGTTTCTAACTATACCGCCGAATAAACTACTCTTTAACAAGACTCGTTCACTGTGTATGGCACTCTACCTATACACTCAGACATATCTATTTACGCCAAGCGTGCATGTAAAATAAGAAACAGTTTCTATTCAAATACATTCCGAAAGAGATAAAAAAAACAGATCAAAGAAACGCCAAGAAAGTCGAAGAAAGAGAAAACCAAACAAGCCCAAAGAGAGCCAAGAAATTCAAAGAGAGAGGAACGACCGAACAAGAAATCTCATCTTCAAGCATGCATGCACGTACATTACAAGCCTAATTGAATGCTGAAACGATAGACAAAACACACACAGAATTCGAGTCTATGTATTGGCCGCGTATATGTACGTACCGATGAGCTTTCTGGGGTCGAACTTGTAGAGATCGACGTCGGCGAACAAGTCACTGAGCGGAATTGGATCGCCCATGACTTTGGGCTTCAAGTAATGGAGAATGAGCTCCTGGTCGGTGGGGGCAAATATGTACCCGAATGGAAACTCGAGCGGGAACTCGTCCTCGGATGATGGCGCTGCCGCCACCAATTCTTGGCTCGAAGACGGCGTGCATGGGACGACACCGACTTCCCGTTGACGGTTGACGTGCATTCCCTTTGGCTGATCATCGCAAGCACGGTCGTGGCACCGATCATTGTTCTCCATCTTGCCTTAATGATAGTGCCTCTCTTGCTCTAAGTGTGTACCTAATGTGAAGAACAACAGAAAAATCTTTGACAAAACAATCTTTCAATCTCACCAAAGACTTAAGAAATCTTTCCACTAGACTTCTTGGCTTCAAAACTCTTGCGATTTCTTCGGGAAGTAATTCACAAACACGCCTCGCAATTTTTTGTCATGGCAAAAAACTCCTCCGCTGACTAATGGGCAAAAACCATCACCCGCCTCTTGTATATAATATTTGGATTGACCGACTCAAGCTAGGAATCCAACTCCAACGTGAGAAGTATATCTGGAAGGGTTTAGGAACCTAACAATCATCTTCTCCTTCTTGATTTCTTTATCATTTAATAAATTTCCGTAAATTACTTTGGCGAATTTTCGTAGCCGTAGGAATTTCTATTAGGCGTTGAATAAATTTGTCTTCAAAAAATTTAAACTATAGTTGCCCCCGCACCTTTTGAGTTTAACATAACATAACTCAATCTTAAAAACTAAACTTGCCTCTTTGATTTTGAGACACCGACCAAAATTAGTGATCGATTAAGATGCAAATCGCTCTAAAATATATTTTAATTGATTATCCGTTTTGTACCGACATGTCCGTGATTTCACAGACAAATTGATATTAACTGATGATATGTGATTTTGATATATAGCTTAGCATTATCTAGAACTTTATTGCTTCAACATTAATAAGATGTTCTGTAAATATATTGAGGCTTAAACACCTTAATGGCAATTCTTTATGTATTTTGATGGGGTCAATTCACCCAACTAAGATGATTTACTGTTTTAATTGTTACATGTAAAAGTTGTTTAATTGATTTTAATTTATGTTCAACCCCAATTAGTTTTAGGCTCCGAAATCAGTAAACGACAATCCAATGACTTTGACCCCAACTATTGCTTGTTAAGTTAGTCTTGAAAAGCCCAATTACAGTAGAAAGAAGCCTAAACTAAACTAAAGGACTCTTTAAGGTTTTTAGGGGTCTATTTTGGATAGCACTTATTATAACTGGTGTACCTTACATATATTTTAGTAATACGCGTTTTTAGAATAGTTTTTTGAAAACCATAACTTCGAAAGTGTTGAAATATTTGAATATCAAATTACATCTCCATCTAATAGCTTAGGCTACGTTTAGTAGTCAGGATAAAATTCATGATATGATAAAATTTATCCTATCATGTGTTTGGATCTTATTTAAAATAGGATAAAGTCGGATAGAATTATAAGAGGGATATAGCCCAGATAAAATTTTCTCACAGGGAAGTTGGGATAAAGGTGGATGGGATTTCTTTCGATCTTATAATATTATTAAATATATATTTAATATTTATATTTATTACATATTTCAGGTATTTCAGTATTTTAGATATATTAGTATAGTTTACTATTTAATAAAATTTTATTAGAGAATGATGGAAGAGTAAAAAAGAACAAAAAAAAGAAAAGAATTAAAAGAGAGAGGAAAAAATAATAAAGAAAATAAGCAAATAAAAATGAAGTGGGCAAGAATGACCTGAGAGATTCTTACCGTCTTAGCTTGTGCAATTTTTAGATTCATTTGTACCGATATGCCGTTGATACCAAACGATAGACATAATAGGATGTGAATAAATCCGGCTTTATAATTGCGATTTACCAAACAGTGGATAGGATGTAAAAAAAATCATGAATTTCATATCCTCTCTTATCCAGTCTTATCCAGACTAGAAATCCAGGTGACCAAACATAGCTTCATACTTTAAAACGATTGGCAGTAATCCCAAAAAATCTTTCATGATATCAAAGCTAGAGAGCTTGGCGCATAGAGTGTCAACTGTTTGATTCAATTTGAGTTGGTTTCCATCTGACACAACCCAAACAGCACATGTTTGTTGTATGGTTATTGTGACCCGAACCGAAAACACAGTTCCAGTAAGTTCGGTTCAATTCAAGGATCGGGTTTTCTTTCTTTAAAAAAAGAATCCTAACCTACCCAGACATGGAGAGAGAGAATCATTACAGTAGTGAAGTCACCAGCATCGGCGGAATCTCTAGCCCAATGTACGTGTAGTGGTCTACGGTGATCGGAAAGGCTGTCGGAATTATAGTTCTCGCTACCGACGTCGGTCTTCCGCTGGCCGAAGTTCGGCTTCTTCTCGCACCTCACGACACGAAGCTTCAGGCTAATCGACTTCGTCGTGGACGATGTGCTCTGAATGGTCATCGTGGTGCTAGAGTCCCTAGCCCTGGCTGCAATGCGCTGCTTCTTCTTTGTCTTCTGTGGCTGCACTCTCTGATGATCTCTTTCTAGGGGTGATAGGTTCTCGATCCGGTTCCGGTTCGGTCTAATGGAACCGGTCATTTAGAGTTTAGTTCATGTTTTACTAATTTTTGTCAATGAATCTATGTCAATGAAGTTCACTTAGGTTTAGTTCATATTTTACTAATTTTTTTGAAGAAATAAAAAAAAAAAGAAGTATATGTAGTCAGTCCGATCCAGTCGGGCCGGTTCCCCCTTGAAACTGAGAACCGGACCACCTAGACACTGATTTCACTTTTAGGAACCGAGAACCGGACCGACACTCTCGGGAACCGGACCAAACCGGCTGGTCCAGTCCGGTCCGGGCGGTCCGTTTTGCACACCCCTATCTCCCTCCCTCCTCCATGAGAATTTTTTTTGTTTGTCTGCGTGTGTATACTTTGTGGTTGTGAAATAACATTTTGACAATATTCACTGGTGAATTAAAATTTTCTGGGAGAATTCTTCATTTACAGTCGAATTGGACGGTATGATGAGTTGAGATAATGCGAGCCTTGGAGTTCATAGTTTGGTTCGCAGTGTCGCTTAGATGTTCTTGGAAGGGTTCACATTCTTCGTGGACGAGAATGTGTTTTGGTTTGGTTCGGGTATGCGACATCTGGAAATTCCGACGTCAGTTAATAATACGTAGGATATAAAGCTACCTGTGGAATCTCAGTTGGATTACTAACTTCGTAGTACACAGAAGGTCCGAATTGTGTTTTTCATGTCCGTAATTTTCGGAAAGCGATTTTATTAGGGTTAAATTAATAAGCATTTGTTTTAGATTGATTATATAGAGTGGCGAGGGAACACGTATCGCCATAGTAATTATTAACGGAGAGACCGAATAATTTGGACAAGTTGTTATTATTTTATACCGACCTTTTTCATGACGCCAAGTCTTTTTATTTGGGATGTAGAAAGGTTTTGTTTTTTATTTTTGTATTTTTGCATGGTTTTGTCATGTACGTATTAGAATCAATAATGTTGTTTGTGTGTTTCCCACCACTGTTCTTATTTTAAGTTTGAGTTGAGAATCTTGAGATTAATACAAATGCAAACGCCACTACCTAATCGATGCCGGCAAACAGACATCTTGGCTCCTGTCGGCAAGTCGAACATGACTTTGTAGAGGTCGGATCCATTTTATTTTGAAGCGCAACTCTGGCATAAGAGCACCGATGGCGACTCCCGAACTGCAGAGCAAGAACAACCTCCTGAAACGAAGAAGAAGGACAACAAGAATCGGCCAAGACGGAGAATGGGCGCGACCGTTGGTGCCGGGAAAACCGTGTGTGTGACCGGAGCGTCCGGCTACATCGCCTCATGGCTTGTCAAGCTTCTCTTGCAGCGTGGCTACATTGTCAAGCCCTCCGTTCGCGATCTGAGTCCGTTCTCGATACCTTTCGTTCCCGTTAATTGGTCATGATCCACTGATTTTGCTTCCTGATGATCTTGATTCGGCCGTGTTGTGTATCTTGTCCGACAGCTTCTAAGTCGTCTCATTTCGTGTAATTCTGATGTCGTAGATGAACGTTTCGTGCATAAGTAGTTTCAGACTGTGGCCGAGTGAAGTAATTTCTGTTTAGCTGGATTGTTTTGAAGTAATCGAGGTGTTAGGAGCTGGTGGGTTTTACCTGAGTAGGTTTTTACAATTATCCTGTAGTGGCTGCTTTTTTTTCCGATGGTGTGCCTTGTAGAAAGGTTTTCGTTCTGCTTCTTTATCGGGCATTTCTAGACTACAGAGTTGTCATCTCGTGAGATTGTTGATTACCAGATGAGGGTGGTTGAAGGTATAATCAATCTAAATAACCTTTTTCTGTTGGCCTGCGCATGCCGAATACAAGGTAATTCTTCCAGAGCTGGATTAGTGTGCCTTAGTTAGGATTGTTTGCCAGCTCCAGAGACATTCCTCAATGAGTCCATGATCTGTCTGATACGCTGGTTATCTTTTATGGCTTGTATTTGTTTATAATAAGAGTGATCTTGCAGCTGTAATTCAAATTATTCCTGCAGTGGTAGGCTAGGCAAATGAAAGAGAACACTAATGTGTTATGATCTTGGGTTTTGTTTCCTCTGTTGCTTGAGGTTTCCGAATTTCTGTAAGAGTGCCATGCTCCGAATCATTTAGTTGAGGAAAAAACTGAACATCTTCGACTCTCAAGAAAATGCCTTCATTCGAACTTGTGTTGAAGAGCCATGATGTTGTTTGACTCGAGCCATTCCAGTTTAGTGGATGAGCAGTGGCCATTGAGTTTTGTGGCTTTCCTTATATTCCAGCAGCTCATTCACTGTAATTGTTCGTGTCTCTCCAACAGGTGATCCAAACAAGACTGAACATTTGCTTGCACTTAATGGGGCGAAGGAGAGACTTCAACTGTTCAAAGCCGACTTGCTGGAAGAGGGTTCGTTTGATCTGTCGTTGAGGGTTGTGTAGGCATTTTTCACACCGCCTCGCCCTTTTATCTGGATGTCAAGGATCCTCAGGTTTGGTTCCAGAAATTATACACTAGTTCTTGCAGAGTAGTTTTTGTGCCCTTTTTCATTAATCCTTTTATGCCACATTTTTGTTTATTGAGGCCAACTAGCATGCTTCATGTTTAGCATTGCCATACCTTTTGCTTTGCCTTTTGATTACGAAAAGGAACG